CACAGTGAAATGGGCTGTGACTTCCCAGGGTCAGACAAACTATGCCAGGAAAGTATTGGCAAATCTGCAGATGGTAACGCCTCTCCTTTATTTTTTGGAAAATACAAGGAATTGTCTGAACCAAAAGAAAAGAATCTTTCACTCAGTCCTCTCTTTCTACAAATAGATGAGGGAGAGATTCAGGAAAGTGTTAAGCATAGTGAAGTGCCAGGTGGTGTTGTATTTGAAGATGCAGCTAGAAAAGAAGCACTGACGAACGTGGGGATTGATCTACAACCCCCTGCAAATGTGGCTTTTCTTCAGGCTGTTGATAAACCAGGAGTGGCCTCAAGCTCTGATGTGGTTTGGAGGCCTATGCCCAAATTGGCACCTCTTGGACTAAAGTCTTTGAATGTTCAGAGTGAACAAAGGGTATTGGGGAACAAATCTATGCCATCCTTGGCTTCAGCTGCAGTCCGATTAAGTTCCCCAAAACCTATGGATTAGGTCTTGATTTTGGTCATTTATAATTGGATAAATGTTCAGGTTACTTGAAGAATATAGCTAAAGTGTTGTACATTGTTTCAGGATTCTTCAACAGTGGATGATTTTGAAATCTAACGCTTAGAAATCACATTTCTATTACACACAAGAACTTAATTATCTGGGATAAAAAGATAAGCGCCCGAATTCCTGCTTCCCACTGTTGCAGCACATTTTTTGCTACAAAGTAACAGGTGCACTTTAATGTATAATCATGATTTGTACATATGCTTTGGCTAAGCAGCGATTTGCAGATATTCTTCTCCAGCAGACGGACGATGTAATACATTCCATATGAGATCTGTCTTCTGGAACAATTTCCACAAAGTAAACCATAGGTGCCTCCATCTCTAGTCTCTACAGCTCAGTCACCTTTCTGTCTGCACTTTACAAGACAAATTGCTAGTTTTGTTTTGTCAGGAACAGTGTTAACTGTCACTTGAACACTCACCGCAGTTACTTGACAATACGTTCATTGCTGCTTGAATGACAAGCAATCATTGCTGTTATCAAATTGAATATGTATAAAATGTAAATGTATTTATATTTTTTAAAACCTTTTGTACACAGATTTTTTTTGTACACATGTGTAGAATGTGATACATTTAACTGATTTACTGTATTTCTTACTGTAGATACTAAGTGTACGACTTGTGGTCCGCTCATGTTTCATTGAGCAAACTTTACATTGTGAGGTTTTGGGGATGTCCCTGTTTTAAGGGGCCCCTGTCTAAGTTGGTAAACATTTAAAAAAGTTACTTTTTTGTTGTTTTCATTATTCAGTCAAAGGGGTGGCTCTTTCTCAAACTAATAATTTTGATTGGAAGCTGGTGGAACGACCAGCAGTTTCTTTTCTGTCTCTGGATCTCCAGCAGCAGAAACCTTGTAAAAGCTGGGACCTTCTATGACCTAGAGTCTATGGACATAAATGAAGGGAGAGCGTAGTTTAGAGTCTATCCATTGCTGAAATATTGGTTTAAGAGACCAACTGAACTTTAAGTTTAAATTCACAAAATATATACGGTACTTTAAAACAAAATATGTGCCTAGTCTAAGAGTTTGCTTTATTTAGAAATAAAAAAAGAGTCTGTTCTCTACCAGTTAGCTGCAGAGAAGGGTCCTTGTTCTTCATATGGAAGCAAGGGTCTCTCTGTAGAGGCGACTTGCTAAGCGAGACGTATAGTAAAGCAATCCGCAAAACTTATTCCCCGCTTATTGGACAGCTCTAGCCCTAATTCACTGCTTCCAGAGAGCAAGGGTCCTTCTCTGCACTTGCATAGGACAAGCTTTTCTGCTGCTTTCCCAGGATAACAAACAAAGACCTTTCTGTTTTGATGCAACACAAATGCATTTAGATTATTTAAACCTAAAGTTCAGCTGGGCTTAAGTGGACTGACCCTTTACTCTGTCCTGATATAAACTGGCAGAACATTGGTGATTTGTTTAAAAAGCAGGTTCAGGGATGTCATTTTCATGGTCCAACTTTATTGCCTAGTAATACCTAGAACAGACATAGATCTTGGGAGTTCTGTCTTCACTTATATTCTTTTTCTGGTTCAGTGAGTAAGAAGGTTGTGAATTGCACCCTGAGAACTTGTATCTTCTAAAACAAATTAGCATTGGTAGCACCCATAGATGTGCATGGCAGGGTCACCACATTTTGAGTTATTGCATTTTTCTAGGGTTCCTCATTTTATAGGAACAATTTAACTCCGTAGAATGTCCCTCTGACTTATGAAGTAGCTGCACACTAATGAAATGCATTGTCACAGCATGGACAGGATAACCCAGTCAAACCTTCTTGTGCAAAGCAATAATTGTGAACTTTTCATTTTGTAATCACAGAACTACACCCTGGCCAAGACAGTCTGTCCTCAGATGAAAAACGGAGAACTTTTATTACGATGTTCTGTTAAAGACGATATAAAGTAATCTTACTATCCAGAACTGGTCATTTTTGTTTTGTCTAGATGCAAACTGGTTTGGTGCTAAATAAAACACTGACAAGCATATTCTCATAAAACTGATGTGTGTATAACATATTCTGTTGGTAATATTTGCATAAGCATGAAATGAGCAGCTTTAACATTTTTGTCCACACGGTGTACTATTTGTATTGCTGAGCATATAGCAATTCATTCTGGCAAAGGTTATGTGGTCCCCTTTACAAAACATTTTAAAGAGACCCCTATTAAAGAAAATGCCTTTACAGAACATTAAAAAAAGTTACCTCCTACAGAGGTCGTGTATAGAGGTCCGATATATACAGGTTGTACCAATCAGTAGTCCCCAAATGCAATCCATCTTAGTTCTTGCATAAAGGTTCTTGTGTAATAATAAATGTACAGTTGTGTTCAAAATAATAGCAGTGTTGAAAAAAGTGAATAAAGCTCAAAATCCTTCTAATAGCTTTTATTTCCATACACACAAATGCATTGGGAACACTACACATTCTAATCCAAATCAAAACATGAAGAAAAATATTAAATTTGCGTTGTTCCTCTAAAAAAAAATTGAAGAAAAGTGAATATTAGACTGTTCAAAAAAAATAGCAGTGTTTGTATTCTTTACAAACTCAAATATTCACTATATAAACTGAAAAATGTTTGAAGATTTTGCTTTCCTTTGAATCACTTAATGAATATTTAGTTGTATAAGCACTGTTTCTGAGAACTGCTGTACATCTGTGTTGCATGGAGTCAACCAACTTCTGGCCCCTGTGAACAGGTATTCCAGCCCAGGATGATTGGACTACATTCCACAGTTCTTCTCTATTTCTTGGTTTTGCCTCAGAAACTGCATTTTTGATGTCACCCCACAAGTTTTCTATTGGATTAAGATCCGGGGATTGGGCTGGCCACTCCATAACATCAATCTTGTTGGTCTGGAACCAAGATGTTGCACGTTTACTGGTGTGTTTGGGGTTGTTGTCTTGTTGGAACACCCATTTCAAGGGCATTTCCTCTTCAGCATAAGGCAGCATGACCTCTTCAAGTATTCTGATGTATTCAAACTGATCCATGATCCCTGGTATGTGATAAATAGGCCCAACACCGTAGTATGAGAAACATCCCCATATCATGATGCTTGCACCACCATGCTTCACTGTCTTCACAGTGTACTGTGGCTTGAATTCAGTGTTTGGGGGTCGTCTGACAAACTGTCTCCGGCCACTAGACCCAAAAAGAACAATCTTACTTTCATCAGTCCACAAAATGTTGCGCCATTTCTCTTTAGGCCAGTCAATGTGCTCTTTGGCAAATTGTAACCTCTTCAGCACATGTCTTTTTTTCAACAGTGGGACTTTGCGGGGGCTTCTTGCAGATAGCTTGGCTTCACATAGGCGTCTTCTAATTGTAACAGTACTCACAGGTAACTTTAGACCTTCTTTGATCTTCCTGGAGCTGATTGTTGGCTGAGTCCTTGCAATTTTGGCTATTTTTCTATCCATGCAAATGGTAGTTTTTCGCTTTCTTCCACGTCTTTCAGGTTTTGGTTGCCATTTTAAAGCATTTGCGATCATTTTAGCTGAGCAGCCTATGATTTTCTGCACTTCTTCATATGTTTTCCCCTCTCCAATCAACTTTTTAATCAAGGTACGCTGTTCTTCTGAACAATGTCTGGAACAACCCATTTTCCTCAGAATTTCAGAGAGAAATTCACTGTAACCAGCATGTACAACATTTGCTGCCTTCCTTCCTTAAATAAGGGCAATAATTGCCACCTGTTTTTCAAAGAATGAATGACCTCACTAATAGAACTCCACACTGCTATTATTTTGAACATGCCCCTTTCAATTAGTGATTCAATTACACAGAATCAGCAGCATGCATGTCATGACTGTTGGGTCTGTTGGATTTCTATTACTCCACTACACCTGCTAGTAAATTATTTGCCATGTAGAAATATCATTTCTACCAAAAACAGTGATTGATCAGGTTAGTGATGTCTGACTGCTATTATTTTGAACACAACTGTACAATGGTCATAGGCCAATAACAGTTGTATTTGTGTAAACACCACCACACCAGCTTTTCTCAGGGGAAAAAAATATTTATTTCTCCACAATATTAGTATTGTTCCACATAAATGAAACATTTGCCTTGCCAGCACAGTCAGTTATTGTCTTGTCACGCTTTAGCAGTCTCCTGTACATGATGACAAAAGATATGTTCTACATTGATGATTTGGGGATAATGTGAAGCCATTTCTTGTCCATTGAGGAACACAAGAATTCAAATACTGTCTAGTTATACTGCTACCTACAGGAGGAGGGACATTTTTTCTGTAGCTTTGTGTTTGTGTTAACAAGGCTTCAATACTCACAATGTCACAACATGTCAGATTTTAGACATGGGACAAGTCCCTCTGGGGCTACTTGCAGTATGCCTACTGAAGGTGCAACCATGTGCAGTCCTGTTGGCCTATGCTCATATAGGCAGTCGCCACCTTGGAGTCCTCTTTACCTCCTTTAGTTG